ACAGCCGAACTGCAGAACTGCAGTCAGCTGAAGGAGCCTGCAGTACTGCATTTAACCACTGCACCACCTCGGCTCTTACCACTGTACAGCACTGTACAGCGACATATAAGTCTAAGTGCTACTGCTGTTTATTGCAAAGAGGGGGCCCTGGGGAAGGGCCTCCTTCCAGCGGTCAGCCAGGGTTGCAGCGGGATTTCCTCCGGAGAGGGCAGGGAAGGAGGGCTTTGGACCAGCTGGAGGGAGATGAGTAGGGTGCCCTTTGTGAGTGGGCAGCTCTCCCTGCCAGAGGCTCCCCCCGAGGCCTTCTGGAAAGGGCCTGGTTTCCACGTCCCTTTCTGGGCCCTGAAGGCTGTCTCTCTTCTCCGCCTTTCCTCCCAGGGGAGCTTTTTGCCCAGGCTCCGATCGATCAGTTCCCCGGCATCGCAATAGAGACAGTCAATGACTCCAGCCGGTATTTCGTCATCCGGATTCAGGATGGAAACGGTGAGGAGGAGGGGGAGGGGGAGGAGGAGGAGGAGGAGGAGGAGGCGTGGTTTCTTCTTGGCCAGTGGGAACGATGGTGGCCCCACCGAGGGTGCCTCCAGCCGCCCCGAGGGATCTGGCCCCAGAGGACCCTCTGTCACCCATCCGGTGGAGCCAGGCGGTGCAGAGCCAAATGCCAGGAGGTTTCTGAACTAAGTGCCAGGGAAGTTGAACCTGGGAGATGTTGCGTGTGAAAGCTCCCCTCTCTGCCCGACTGGTTCTCAGCGGAGGACCTGAAGGCCTCTGAAGGGGGCACCACGGAGCCAAGGACGTCCCTGGGGCTCTTGTGCAGGGGTGGCGTGATACCTGTTGGCAGGTTCCTTCTGACCGCCAGGCCTCCGGAGCCCTAAGAAGAGAGGCGCCCCTGGGGCAGCGAGGGAGATACGGAGGAGGTTGGCCTTCCTCTGAGAAGGGAGGGAGGCCTAGGAGGCAGCAGAGGCGGCCCCTTCTCAATGGGGAGCCAAGGACTCTCCTAGGCCTCTTAGCAGACGGGGGCAGAGGATTTCTGGGCCAACGGCTGCTGGCTTTCTCGCTCAGGGCGCAGCGCCTTCATTGGCATCGGCTTCGGCGACAGAGGAGACGCCTTCGACTTCAACGTGGCCCTGCAGGACCATTTCAAGTGAGTCTGCCTTGCTGGGCGAGGGGAGGGATCGGCCGGAGGAGGGTCCGCCTGGGGAGGGGGGAGCTTCCTTCCCGGCTCCTGTCTGAAATGGGGCTGATCACCTGATCGCCATTCCTGCCGGCTTCCCCAGAAAGTCAGTGGGGAAGTTGGCAGAGAAGGGCGCAATTCGCTCGGGGAAGCTTACCACACCTGTGCACCCCCCTCAGCACCTTTGCCCTTGCTCAGTCCCCCTTTGCTAGCTTTCCTTCTGAGTCCCATGGGGGGAAGCAGCAGGCCGTTGCCTCCGCAACCACTCCGGGGATCAGTTAGCACCTGCAGCTGCCATGGCCGCCGCTAAGCGAGGCAGTCGCGCTTTGTGACCGCGTTGTTTAGTGGCAGGCGTTCCGTGGCAGTTGTAAGCTGAGGAGGGCCTTGCCCGGTTCGCCTTCCGCCTGGTTCCCGCTCTTCCCTGTCCCGGCGCTTCACCTTCTCGCACACAGGTGGGTGAAGCAGGAGACGGAGATCTCCCGGGAGTCCCAGGAGCTGGACAGCCGGCCCAAGCTTGACCTGGGCTTCAAGGAAGGGCAGACCATCAAGCTCAACATTGGGGTGAGGCCCCCCTGCGCCCCTTTCCTGGCTTCCCTGGGCTTGGGAGGGTCTCCGGGAGGCCCCTCGTAACGCCCTCTCTCTCCCTTTGCAGAATATGCCCACCAAGAAAGGGGGGTCGGCAAAGCCCCGCCCCCCCGGCGCAGGTGGGCTCAGCCTCCTCCCCCCACCCCCGGGGGGCAAGATGGCCCCTCCCCCTCCGGTCCCCCCCCTCTCTTCAACAGCCATTTCCAACCACGTGACTCCTCCCCCCGTGCCGAACTCCAGCAGTGCTGGCATTGCAGGTAACGGCGGCTTCCTGGTGGAGGGGGATTCTGGGGGTGGGGGGGTCCCCACCCAGCAGGCGCTCAGAAGAGAGGGGGGCAGGGCGGGGGCCCCGATGGCCATGGAGTCGGGATGGGGAGGAGGAGCCCTTTGGCAGCCGCTCCGTCAGCCGCTCCGAGGAAAGGCCGGCCTTTTAGATTGGCCAGGATTCCCGCCCCCTCTCCCCCCCCCCGTGGCTTCCCTTTTGTGGGTCTCGCAGTCAAGTCGTCCTTGACTTACAACCGTCCCCTTGGTGTCCGTTCAAACAACGGCGTTGGAAGAAGGGACGTGTGGCTGCTTCCCACAGCTGTGACCTTTGCACTCTCCCCACGGATCACATGGTCCCAGAATTGAGACGGGTGGCCGCCGGTTCATACTTACGGCCATTGTGACCCTCTGAGCAGCAAGGTCCACGGGGAAGCCAGATTGGCTTTACAGCCATGTTACTCACTTAACAGCTGCAGGGATTCACTTAGTAACGGTGGCAAGAAGGGCGCAACATGGGGCAAAATTCACTTAACAAATGTCTCGCTTAACAAAGTAAACTTTGGGCTCACTGGTGTTCATAAGTCGAGGACTACCCCTACACACTGATTTGGGGGGTCCTGTGGCTGGTCCTTCGAGGGCTGAGGACATTGGGAGAGGCTCCTGGCTGGTGTCCCCAGAGAAAGCTGGAGGAGACCCTCTCCCAGTATTTCTAACCAAGAACCCCTCCCTTTCATACCCCCCCCCCACCAGATACCCTCCTAGACCTTGATTTGCCCCCCGCCGCCTCCAAGGGCCCCCCGCCTGCCCCCGTCCCAGGCAGCGCAGATCTCTGGGGAGACTTCAACACGGCACCCAGGTAAGGACGGGGGGGGGGGCCCTCCGGGGTCAAGGCCACCGTGTTTCCCTGACAATAAGCCAGGGCCTTGTTTTCCTTTGACCCCTGAAACGAGTGCCTGGCCTTATGTTTGGGGAGGGTTTTGGGGAGCCTTCCTTCTTCTCCTCCGTCCGGCCTCTGCTGAGCCCCCGCAGCCCTGGGGCGGCTCCTTCCGTGGGGAGGGGCCTTTGCTTCAAGGTCTTGCTGGGAAGATGGGGTGGGGGGTGTCCTCGGCCCCACTTGCCTTTCTCCTCATCCTCTCCCTGCCTGTGTCCCCCCCCCCTCCCCCCTCCAGCACAGTTCCCAGCCAGACTGCTCAGCCGCCCAGCTGGGTTCAGTTCTGAAGAAGCGGAGCGGAGCGGGCGGAAAGGGACCAGCGGCCGAGGTAGATGGACCGACTGTGGAGGGAGCTTCCCGACGTCCTTCGGGCTCTTCAGCCGGATCCGGATTTCCAGACAATCCTCCTCCTGTTCTTGTTGGTGTTCCCGTCCCATTGACGCCCGTTGCATTTGATCCCTGGCAGCAGAATTCACCCCTCCGGGAGCCGTGGCAGGGCGAGGAAAGGGGGGCTGGGACCCGGTCCCTGCTTCTGGTCAGCCCCCGAGGTCTGGGAGGCTAAGCAGGTGCTGCTTTTCCTTCGCCAGTTCCAGCCGGGCCTCCGTGTCCTCCTTTCTGAGCCTCGGTGCGCCTGGGGCGGGCGGAGGGCCAGAGCTGCCCCTCTTGACCTCTGCTCCCTGTGGCCGTCCTCACCCGTCTCATCATTCCCCCGGCTCCCCCCCGGCTCAGATCTAGTGAGAAGGTCCCTTCCAAAATTGGACGTAGTTGCAACACCCCAGAGCCCCTCCTGCTCCCCCTTTCACGGACGGCAGGCGTGATCTTCTCCTGGGGTTCCTTGTGAACCCGGCTGGTTGTGTCCTCAGGATGGGCTGCCTGGCATCCACACGGCAGGGGGCACCCCTCCCCTCCCCGAGGGAGGGCCGCCCACTCCTGCATCAGAGGAGCCGGGTGGCGCGGGAGGGTCGGGCTCCCGGGTGCCACTTTCTGGCCAGTAGGTTTTGTCAGCCTGTCCCTGGCGGAGATGCCTGAATCCTGGCGTCTTTTCCTGGCAGCGTCTCTTCCCTCCGCCCGCCTGCCTGCCTGCCTGCCTGGTCCGTGTCTTTTTGGGATTTGCACAGGTCTCCCCTTCGCTCCCCTTGCTGACGGGGAGCTCGAATGGCTCTGAAACACCCGCTTCGCTTGGCCCTCCAATTGCGGGGCCCTTTTCTTGTTACGCTCTAGATCCGTTTCTCCCGGGAGGCTCCTGGCCCCCGTGGGCAGGAATCCTTACGCTCTCGCCTGTTGCATGTCCTGGGTGACACCGCCCCCCCCCCTTCCCCGTGGTTTGGTGTTTTCCCTCTGGGTAGTTTTCAAGTGAGCCGGGCACTTCCAGGTCCACCTCTCCCTGTTTAGTCTCTTCTCCGCGCCCCCCCCAGCCAAATCTCCATCTCCCTTGCAGGGGAAGAGGGGGGGGGATCTGCTCCGTTAGTGTCAAGCGGGGGACCGCAAGGAAATGAAATGCACTTTTTGAAAAGAAGAAGCCTCCGCAGCTCCCCATAAACACCCCCCCCCCAAATCCCCACTTGCTCCTGAGGCTTTCTCTGTCCCTTGCAGGCGGCCGCCAAGGGTTACGCTGGGCTGTGGCTCCGGGAAGGACCCGGTTCCCCTGGAAAGTGGGAGTCGTAGCCCAGCTGGGAGGCGCCTGGTTGGGCTTAGCCGGTTCCACCCCTTCTTTTTGCCCCTCCACGCCCCGCCTGGAGGTTCTGGATGCGGCTGAGTCCCTCCGTGGCCATTTCCACAGCCTCCCAGCCCCCCCCCCTCCCCTCCCCAGGCCATTCCCTGACTTCCCAGGTTGACCAATCGGGAGGCTTCCCCCCTCTCTGTGTGTGTTTTCTTACGGCTAGTATTACCTAAATAATATATTATGTATTGTCACAAACAGAAGTAATGTTCATCTGTCTGTATATAAAGTATAAGATGTACTGGTTCAATAAATAGCAAATAAAAGAATTAAACCTGGGAGAAGCAGCTCCCGTCTTCAAGGCTCAACACCCCCCCCACCCCCCCCCCCACCCCCCTTGCAAGGGCTTTTGCAGAGCCCTCTGCGTCCTCCCTCTGTGCTCCTTCCTCAATCCCTGCCTCCTTTCTGCTTCAGCCCGTCGTCTTCTC